AAATCGTGTTTTAGGATAAGTATATTTAGAACTGTGTATCCTTAAAGGTCGTATTGATATGATTGCATTTTGGACATGCTTGTGAAACCTCGACTGATCAGGCCTTATAGGTATTAATATGTCTTGGCATGTACGTAAACACCTTTGAAAATTAAATTGATCAAAATGAGGGATTTTTTTCTTCAATAAGAATTTAATAAAGAATAATGACAAGAACTATATTTTTACAATTGTATTAGCGCGTTTTAATGATATCTCTTTAAAAAGCCCCCCCCCCCCCGAAATAAATCGCACCCTTACCGAAATCAAACATTAATATTTTCTTTGTTTTTATAAAAGACATGCAATCGTGCGCTTGTCACCCCAACAATACATCAATCATGCTTTTCCATAAAGGAATAAACTTACCCCAACAATACCAACAAGTAAATATTTCGTCAGCACTTTTTCTTTCCAGACACATGCCGCGATTTCGATCTAAAAATATGAATAGTTTCCTGTTATGAGTGAGCGTAAGGTCAAGGTCCTTTATCCGCTCTTACATCCAGAAAATCTAGTTAGTAACATTAACCCACTCCATCTCAAACACGAGAAATTGATAGTGACATTATAATAACATATTACATTTATAAAACGCCTTTTCATTAGATACAGAGCGCAATATTTCTCTCATTGTTTGTGACATAGAGTAACGAAATAATTATGGTGTACATCTTTTTTTAATAATACCGTGACTTATTTACAGGTTTCCATATTATTATTTTTTGTTTACTTGAGAGCATTTATCCTGAGTGTTTTGAGAATTAGTAACTTACATCTACAGTTTGCTACATTTTTAAAAGATAAGTGTATTACTTTAAAAAATATACATAATTAAAACTTGTTTTTTCTACACTAACCGCGTATCTTAGCACTAATGAACCACTAATAGAGAGAATGTTTTAACCACAAATGCCTTTGTTTACAATATAAAATGAGACGAATATAGAACAAGGTTTAGAGATAGAGAGATACACATTTCTTGGTGTCCAAAATATGTGAGTTGTACATGATTAGTAACGCGCTCAATGACATGAATTCGTTTGTATTTCATTCATAGACCTTCATTGAATATTGGGGAATATTACAATTTCAATGAATAAAATACGTTCAAATACTGCAAATGATATTGAGC